CATATTTACGTACGGATTGGCTTTATCTGATGTAAGTTTGCGTTGTTCCTAATACGTTTGTGTTTGCAAGTTGTAAGCACTTGTAACGGTTACATGTGCGTTTCATGCATAGTGCGTAAAAATGGCAGGTAACAGTAATGAGGTAACTGTGAAAGTGTGCAGTTCTACTGAAAACTTGTTGCTTTCATGGGGATGTAATAAGGAAACAGTGAAAATTTATCAAAGTGAAAGTTATTAGTGGTCAGCTTTTACAATGTTGTCAGAAGCAATTATCTCTACAACCTTACATGATAATCGTTGGGCCAACAATTGCCACAACAACCGACCACTATATTATTTTGGACAATAACATTCATTGGCATTTTAAAAGCGGTAAAAAGGCGTTCAATATTTTGTTTAAAATATTTCACGCTTTAAATATATCTTATCCAGTACAATCAGAACATTTATACGTATTGTTGTAAAAAGGAGTATATGGAATTCACCTAAACGAATATAAGGTACCTCCACACATTCACGACGTTTTGGCAAAATTGTATAAACAATTTTATATATTGTATAATATAGTTCCCATATAATGAAGTGTGTATATTGTGTTCAGAGATTTTTGTTAATAAATAAGTATATAACTCATTTAGAGTTTATGCACAAGAATTCAGATTATTTTCAATGTCCTTATAATTTAGTTAGCGTTACTTCCAGGTTCATCGTAAATTAATTAAAAATAACAAAATAAATACGATGAAAAAGTATTTAATTTTTATGTTCGGTGCTACATATGTTTGAACATATGTCATCGAACTATGCGATCTTCATCTGGCACGACTAGAGACAGATCAAAATAAGTTTTTGTTAAGACATCAATCAGTTAGAAAAATAAATTAAAAGGTAAAAATAAATTTACTGTCAAGATTGTCGATTAAAGAAACAAAGCGTCAGCTTGAAATATTTGACAATACAATATGATATGGTAAAAATCAAAAGGCTTGATATTAGACAAAGAAATAAATCAAAATTGCGTAGCATATGGATAGATTGATGTGTTTTGATGCTTGACATTTTAAGCGAATCTCTCATTCATAAGTATTTCAATATGATATGACTTATTCCATTCTAATATCTACAAGAGTAATCCTAATGCGGTGTCGGATTTAAGACCGATTAGTATTTTGCCGGTGCTTTCAAAGGCATTTGAAAAAATTTTAGCAAAACAACTTAGACATTATCTGAATGCGTGTAATATTTTGCCTGAATTTCAATCTGGGTTTAGACCTCATCATGGCTGCTGTGGAGCGCTTTTGAATATCACTGACGACTTGTTGTCTGCGGTTGATCAGGGGAAGATGTCGGCGCTTGTTATGTTGGACTACTCCAAGGCCTTTGATACTATTAATCATTCATTGTTGTTGAGTATTTTGCACTACATAGGCTTTGGGAGTGGTGCGATATCGTTGTTCGCTGACTATCTGGCGGGTAGGTCACAAAGTGTCATGATACATGGAAACAGATCTAGACCCACTGAAGTCGTATCCGGTGTACCTCAGGGCTCTGTGTTGGGTCCCATTTTGTATACGGTGTATACATGCCGGTTATACGACTGTCTGCGTCATTGTAAGTATCATGCTTATGCTGATGACACTCAGATTTATTCCTCTTTTAATGAAAAAGATCTTGCTGTTGCGCAAAGACATATTAACCAGGACCTGGATGCACTAGTTAGCCTTTCAGAAAGGCATAATTTAGTTATTAACCCCGATAAGAGTAAGTTATTATTGTTCGGGAGTAAAGCGTGCAGGAATAGAATAAAAAATAATATACAGATTTTTGTTAAAAATAGTCCATTGAATATTTCAAGTGAAGCAAAAAATTTGGGTGTCATACTGGATTCCGAACTTCGTTTTACGCAGCATGTTAGTTCGATGATGCGGTGGTCGTACTGTGCTCTTAAATCTCTTTATGAACACCGTTTCCTACTTAATAAACGAATAAAAATATTGCTCTGTGAAACACTTGTTTTGTCTAATCTTAATTATTGTGATGTCGTTTACGGACCTTGTCTCAAGGGTCGTGACAAATACCGTATCCAGAAGCTACAAAACTCTTGTATTAGATTCATTTCTGGTTTGAGAAATCGCGATCGAATATCTCATGTTTATGAGGATATCGGTTGGCTGCGTATGGCTGCACGTCGTAGGTTGCATGCCCTTGTTTTCTACCACCATGTGCTGAATAAGAGGGTACCACAGTACTTGTATGAAAGAATTCGTTTCCGAACTGACGTTCACAACGTTAATATACGTAAAAAAGATTACCTGGCAATACCGCGTCACAGACTTGAGCTGTTTAAGAGGTCGTTTTCTTACACCATTGTTTCCTATTATAATTCTGTTCCTCCTGAATTCCAGCACCTTGGTGGTATCTCCTTCAAGAAGAAAATCAAAGGGCTCTTTCTGACCTGTAATAAATGACTAGGTCGCGCAATTGTGTTTTTTTTTCTTTCTCCGAGACTCCATACACACTATGTTATGATTGCTGGTTTTTCGTAATGTTTGCACTGTAATAGTTGATTCGTGGCCTTTTCGTTTCTTTTCTTTTTTTTTTTTAAGTTTATTATTTTTACCATTAGTTAGTAGTTAGTTAGTTTAGTTAGTTGATAGACTTTTTTTTATGGGGTGCCGGAAGAACAGATCAGTGTTCTTCACTGTTCTGAGGTATCTCCATTTGGCGCACATTTTTTTTCTTTTTCTTGTTGTTTGTTTGTTTTTTTTAATATGTATACAAATTTTCTTTTGTTATATTATGGATATACTTATATTATATTATGCGTCAATAAATAAAAAAAATAAAAAGATTTATTATCAGGTTACTCCTCATAGCTTGAAATGAAAAACACGTCATCTTGCAAAATATCATCACATATCTTGAAAGATAGCTTAAATAATAAGGATTTTAGAATGATACAACTTCTATTTTACATTTATATATTGAGAAAAATAATGTTATAGTGATTTGTAATTTTCAAGGAACTTAAGGGTGTTAACCCAAGAAATCTTAACACAAAACAGATTAACCACACGTGCCTGCATTGACCACGTTCCCTTTGAACCTTCATACATCAATCATATTGCCTGCGTGGTTTCCAAACTAACGCGTTGTTTCCAAAGTATCAATCGAAAAAATATACGAAAGCTTTTGAAGTTGTTAAATGACGTGTTTGAGAATGCCGTGATCAATGAAGTTAGCTTTGTCGAGTACTTAGAAATTGTATTAAATTTTATATCAAAGGCAATTGAAGTTAATTACGTTCATTTAAATAATAGTGGTGTTTCGAGAATTCAACTTCAATTGCCTTACGATTTCGACGGTTAACCTTAATGTGAGTAACTCAAAGTCTCCCCGTCTCACCTTACTGTGCAGTTTGCCTGGTAATTATCGATATGGCTTTTGTCTAATTGACGGTAAAAGCGTCCCGGTATACAATTACGGTTTTAATTGGTCTCGGATTGCAGGATCCCGGGAAGAGGAGGAGGAACTCGCTGCCGACGGCTACAAGAATGTGAATTAACTTAATGACGTCTAATTTGTAAAACGTTGATCCAGAAACCGCACGAACGTCGAACCGACCCGATTTCTCCGTCGTTAGTAATTGCATAGTTTCTGCTGCTAAGATCGCTAGCGCAGAGGTTTTTCCCAGTGTTGAACTAATTAAATTGGGTATCGGTTGTTTGTTTAATACGATTCGTAATGGGTGATGTTGATTTTAATTAGTTCATTATTTGGTAATAAACCTCGCTTTGTATCGTAATCAACATTATTACGAAATTGCCAAGTCAATTTCATTCATTACCAATTATTTGAAAGCAAATTGTTGCTATTTCATAAATTGAAATGGATTTTAACTTGAACGGTATTGAGTTCAACAATAGCTAAGGAGATTAAGGTAACTAAAACGGTAATTGAATGTAATCAGGTTAAGATCGGGGCTACGTCGTTTCGACCAAAACTACTACTTAACAGAAATACCCGGAGTCTATTATATCGGACCGCATTCATAGCGGTTCAATTTAACTTTCGAGCGCATAAACTATTTAATCCTCAGCAATAACATCGGCAATAATGGCACTTAGTCTAATACTACATCCGGCAATTTGCTATATACGACCCGTTATTGCACCCTGTTATTATTACTAACTAAATTACATACTATTCTGTTACCACCCTCTCTAATTTCTAAACCTTTGTATATTTCATAAGGTAACATAATAATAAGCAGGTTTTCATCGTTGTAAATAAGGTCTAATCAGGATTTCATAGTCTCCTCGTTCAAATTGATATTTATGGGTTTTTATCGATTTAAGAGAATAAATTAATATCAGATTAAATATTAATGAAAACACCTATAATTGATATCCACTGTAATAAATGGATTTGAACGACCACAAATGATTATGGGGGACAAACGACGTATTAAATCCAATCGGAAACCCCATTAGATGGTTCATTAACCAAAGACAGGAGATTATATGGCGCTATACATTTGATCGTTGGTACGTAGATAGTACAGGTAATCGTGTAAGGGTTATATATTGTGATGTCATGGACTTAATGTTAGTTTAGTGTAGGATTAATTCAGCATAATTAATTGATGATTCAATTTCACGTACGCGCCTCCACCAATTTTTGGGCGGAAATTGAATTTTTTTATCAGTATTAAAAAGTTCAATTCCAACGGTTCAACAAGTGATCGATTTTTTTCCCAATTTTACAACCAAAACTGAAATAAGCCGAAGATGATTAAACGGTTGCCATGCAATTTTAATCTCTGCTCATTACTACGGCAGTTTTTCAACACACAAAAATTTTCAATCGTACGCGTTTTAGGTCGTTACTTGGAAACGCCGAGTTATCGATTTTGAATACGATAAAATTTTAAATTACGCATCGACAGCACGTTTTTAAACAGTTTCGCTTGAGTGTTTTTTTTTTTATTTTTTACTTACTCGAATATTCTTGTTGTGCTTGAGCTAAAAGAGATGCAAACACATGACTGTCAACCGGTCTCGCGGGTATTTCTTCTTCGCTAGAACTATATCCCCGTTCTTGACGCCACTCAAGACTCCTCTGTCGCCTCATTCCGGCGGGTCCAAGAGCTCCCTTAAGGCCACGACGGCCCAACGTGCCGCTTCCACCCTTTTCCATCACCACAACTCCTCCATCTGTAACAAGAAGAGATTTGCTAAAGGGGGTTGTGATAAAAAGTCAACAGTAAACAGCGGTTTTTAAAATAAACTTAACATTAACTTAAAATGAACTTAAAATTATCTTAAAATAAACGTTCTAACCCCCCGGAAAAGAAATCTTTTGATTCGAATCAAAGAAATTTAAATGGAAAATTTAAGATGGGTTATAGGGAATTAACGTAATCCCTTATGAGATGGAAGCTGACGAAGAGATGACGATGAAGAAGAAGACACGTCTCTTTTGCATTTTAATTAAATGGAGGGGTGGTTTAATTATTTAGGGTGTTTTGGAATTGGACGGATGGCGAGATAATTGTGCCACGGGATTAATTTTTGAGAGGAGATGGTTGGGATTATTTTTTGGGAACGCTTCAGGGACACTTAACGGTTTTTGTTTAAGGAAAAAAAATTATTTAGAATTTTAGGGACGTATTAATTAAATTTTAATCTTTTATTCCAAAAATTATTTATTACTTTTGTGCTTGAAAATTAATATTGTCCCAAAGCGATAACATGTTAGATAAGGCAGAAGAAATTTTGATTTGAATATTATGTATACCTCATTAGTTGTAATCGTTGGGATATTATTCCGTTGTAAGGGTGAGAGGGTTTGGCCCATTGATGTATAAACACCGGACTGTGTGTGACCAGTATTTCACACATGTATAGTACTAAATTGCCTTTAAGGTGGCCCGACTGTCCATTTAGATGTTTATCGATGCCCCTTTCTATGGCTTCTCAAGGTTTAAAACAGTGCAGAACTTTATGATAAGAATAATGTATATAAAATCCCAGAGCTTTCAACGCTTTTCTGTAGTTGTACTGGTATAAGAATTTCAAATACTTTTTTGATATAGTCCAAGCTAACCTAGGTTTCTTCCATGACATTTTATCTAAATGTTAAACGCTACCCCAGAGCACCATCGAGATTTAGCGTTTTTCAGTTCTTAATCGGTTTTATAGCAACAAGAAGTTCTTTTTCTGTAAATAAGCAGTTGTGTCTTCAGCTGCTTGTTTCAGAGTCTTTGCGCATAAGTCATTGCCAAAACTTCAATGTCAACGGGTTTTATTGCTCCGATATTTCAGATGTCCATCAATACACAGGCATCTCGTATGAATGCCACAGATTCCCGCATCATAGCTTTGGCATTATTTTTATTGGCCAATCCTTCACCTTTACCGTTGAACGTGTGCTTGTTGCTTCGTACATTATGGCAATTTTTTAGCTAATAACCTTCTAGTTTCGTTCATGGACTGCAATGTTATCAGACACCATTATAACATCTGATATGGTTTCACAATATTCCATCCTCCTGAAAGACGGGATTAATACTTTCAAGTCAGCTTTAGTGATTAGCTTCAGGATCTGATAAGTTCTCTATAATCTGTATTCGACTGCCTTAACGGTAAGATCCCTAGCGATTGATGAACTGACCAGGTCAAGTCTTCCAATTCATCCAGTTTCCGTTAATGTCCATTTATTGGTTCATTGAGTAATCACTTAGCAGTATTATATGTTTTGTTTGTTGAGAAATCTAGATGGATTAGTTATTACTTTTGTACTTGAAAATTATTGTCCCAAAGCGATAACATGTTAGATAAGGCAGAAGAAATTTTGATTTGAATATTACGTATACCTCATTACTTTTAATCGTTGGGATATTATTCCTTTGTAAGGGTTAGAGGGTTTGGTCCGTTGATGTATAAACACCGGAGCCACCGTATCCTTGATAAGGACTTAAAAGCATAAATACCCAGGTTAGCACGTCGTCCGTGGCATTGCAGTTTGCACGTAAACACCTCATTTGCATGCGGGCTGGTGGCAGTATGGCCCAGGACTTCGACAAACTTCGACGTTTTCCTCTCACTCCAATACGAAAACCCCGACCGTAACGGCAGAGTTTGCTCTCTTCATTTCCATTATAAACGATAACAAAACACGGGGCCGGCACCAGACATTTTTGCCCTTTTTCCCTTCTCCGTTTGATATTTTCATAGCCGTGGAGCCCTCTCATTATAAGCGCCTCATTAATGTACGGCCGCGCGTTGGTGAATCATCCGCCGCAGGAATAAGAGAAAAACGACAAGAAAAAGGGGTGAATAGAACAAAAACGGGAACACAAAAAAAACATAGGAACGAGATACGGATTTTGTTTATTCTGCAGCAATCCTTTTGTTTTCAAGGAAATTTCGCCCGAAGAGATCATGTTTATAAAAATTTGTTTTCTTCGTTTTTGTAATTAGTGGATTAAATGCGAAAAAATTACATTAAATTTGAATCAACATAAAAATATTGAAAGAATCAATAAGGTATGATTTCAAAGTCACGGCAAGGAGAAAGAGGGAGGGCTTGAATCCTTTAGATTAGAAAACGGACACGTACGACATTGTTTTTCGCCTCAGCCGATCGCATCAACTTGTTTGCGGCCGAAGAACGAATGCACCGTAAAAGCTCTACCCAAATAGCACACCGACATTGCACTCTTTCTCCTATTTACTTTGTTCAGTTCGATTTTATTTCGATTCGTGCTGCGGAAAGTTTCGTATCACTTGGGAATTGTGTCTGACCATCCCCTAAACCAATACAATTATAAGAAAGTACACCATGCACTTTACTTTTTTTTATTGTCGTAAATCTGATGTAATATCTTGATCTCTAAGAAGAAAATATAAGTCGAAAGACTTTTAAAGATTTATTTATTCAATTTTTTTAATTAAGTTCAATAATTGTCTAGATTTCTGTATTATATCCCAACTTAATTTAAGCCAACATTGATTAATAGATCCAAACAATTTGTCAATTGATTGCTACTTATGTCGCGCTAAAGTAGATTTTTCCTTCAACTCCCCAAGAAAATGTGCTTCATCGAAAAATTTGGTTTGCGATGAGTAGAAGGGTGCATTAATGCGACACATATTGCAAACGCCATTCCACCGAAACAGATGCAACACACTCCCTATTTGTATAGAAATAGAAAATGGTTTCGTAGTATAAACACTATATTTACAAATAACAATAATCTCTTATGTGGGTCCATATACATAGAAGGTTTCAGTACAAATTATCCTAAAACTGAGTATTAGGCTGATACAAGAAATTATTGCCCAATTAAAAATCAACGATTTTTAGTTGCTTACAGCAGTTTTACAGATAAGAAATGATAAACAAATTAATAATATGTTAGGCTTTGAATATAGAGTTGGAACATTAAATGTAAGTTAGATACTGCAAGTAACGGTTTCATTTTTAATAGGATAGGTTAGAAATCTCAGTCTAAGCATAGGCCGCAGAATACGTGTTGGAAGCACTAATCCAAATATATCACAGTTCTCATCTATGATTGTTTCATCCACTTCAGATATCTTATCCATATTCGTCGGCGGGAATCGCGTCTTCACCTTGCTGTTCCAGAGTGATAACTGCGCGTGCAACCAACATCCAGTTTTTCATGTTACGAAAGGAAAGATGAAAGAACGAAACGAACTCTTTATACGCGCCAATTTTGTAAGTTGTTTAGGAGTAGATTAATTAAGATAGTTATTGTTATACTTTACTTTTGACTGTGGAAGATTTGCTCGACATTATTCATTAATGCATTTACATGAGGCTATCGACGTTTTCTGTGTTTTGGGTATTTAATGAAATATTCGTAACCAATAGTTTATCTTGTCGAGATTCCCCTCTCTTCACATAGTGATATCAGGGATTACTTCCTCTTTGCTTGTGAACCCATCTGTGCTCTTTCTTGTTAGATGAGCCTTCAGTCTCGGCTTTATCTGTGCTGTTGTTTGTTTTCTTCAAAGACATCGGGTCAATCAGGACTACGCTAGCCAGTACTACCTGTTCTGGGGCAGATACAGTTAATTTTCGACGCGGTTGCTAATTGTATCTGACCAAGCTATCATACAGCTATACTGCGTGTAGTGCCTTTATCGGTAATCTACGTTTATATCTTATTGGCTGAAAGTGTTTACCATTAAGAGCAACAAAGATATTGTGACTCGTTGTTGTGGACAATTTGTATATAACTCTTAAACATAGCTTTGCTATCGATGACACACAACATTCAACGAGAATTCACGTCTAAAGACGAGAATAAGTTCGTCTTAAATTACTACCGATCATCCAGGTGACTAATTGGCTTATTACCCCGTTAATTTTCATTTGCCAAGACAACGATGATTAAGGTGTTAGCGTATCTCACCAGACTCTGGTATTCGTATTCTACCGCTGTGGAAGATTCAGGTAATTTGGTGTTGATTTTACTGTCTATAAGATGTATTAAAACTTACACCCTACAAAGGTTCTTTAGGACTTGATGAACCAATTGCTCTAAGGTCTTGTTCCTTTATGTCACTAGATTCCAGGCAAACTTTTCCGAAAAAATTGTGTATTAGCCGACCTCTGGCGACGCAATCACACAGAATATACCCAGCAGTCTCTGACTTGTCGTTGCAAAGTCGACAATTTTGATCCTCAACTTGTCCAATGTTGAAAATATGGTATTTTGAGAAAATTGCGAGCGACCCCAGGTCCCGTTTGCTGAGACATAAAACCTCTTTGACTTTCTTTTGCGACGGAGTTATCATATTCTTCCCCTGGCGAGTTTTCTCAAGTTATTGGTTTATTCTTTGACCAGTATTTTACACATGTATATTGTAATTGTATTCAAGGTGGCCCGACTTGTGCGTTTAGATGTTTATCGATGCCTCTTTCTGTGCCTTCTCAAGGTGCAGAACGGTGCAGAAGTTTATGATTAGAACTTTAGCTTGAAAAATGGTAACGAAAGTTCTGTAATGTATATTACATCGACAGTTAATCGGTCATCACAAAAACCTAGTGTCTGTCCGTAAAATTCCAAAGCTTTCAACGCTTTTCTGTAACTGTGTTGGTATAAGAATTTCAAATAGTTTTCTGATGAACACATCCTTTTGTAGTTTTTTTTATGAGTACTAACCTAGGTTTCTTTCATGAC